TTTTTTGGAGAGACAAAAACTTCATATTTGAAGTTATAGAGTGTCTTTTGGAGAGATGCTCTAAAGTAAAAAAAAAAGAACTATATTTTCGGCTATTGGAAAACCACCAGTTAGTGTTTATTATCTCAATTTTTATAAGAAAAAGGTATTCGCCTTTACTTGATTTCCGCACAAAAGAGGTAATTCTCGTAGCTTTTGGAATATTGGGTCCACTTAAACGGAATCCTTAAAATGATTTTTAGTTTAACCATTCTAGTGAAATAGTTGTAACGAAATGTTATTGAAGTCTTAAATACTCCCTCTGTTTCATTTTAAGTGTCACTCTACAGCTGTGCACACGGATTAAGAAAATAATTAATTTTACATATTTTCTATATAAAAACACAGTTACCCATACACCTAACCATATTTTAACCAATAGAAAAAACAAATTACATAATAAAATTAATAAATTTTGCATTGAAAACCGAAAACGACACTTATTTTGTAACGCAAAAAATTCTCTACAACGACACTTAATATGAAACGGAGGGAGTAATGTTCTTAAAATATAGATGATTTATTATTTTTTGAACCCCCACAAATGCGATCAACAAAATCATTTCAAATTTACAAGGTTATAAGTGAAAGATCTGAATTACATATATTAGATTCAAGTTTGAACTGCATAAATTTCTTTTATTATTTCCTAAGAACAACATTATTGCTAGGTTTTTAAGAAGAGAGGAGGGGAAGAGACCCACAAAAATATCAAAATCGAGGAAAGAAATAACTAAATTAAGAGGCGTTTTGGTTTGGTTTTTGTACTATTTGCGGATTCCATTAACACGTGGCATCCGTAATTAATTCGTTTTCAATTTTTTTTTTAAATCGGATAAAAACAAAAAAGAACAAATTTAAGGATCAATTAAGAACCCTATCAATAATATTTCTCTAACTGATTCGGGAAGATCTTGGTGTCTCTGTAGTGGTGTATATAAAGCAAAGGCATTAGAAAATTTAAAGACCACCGTTGAGTTTTAATTAACGGCGACAATTAAAATTAAAATTAAAAAGTTAGAAAGATTTTTGAAGGAGATGACATGAATTTTCAAAAGATAAAAGAAGTGATAATAAAAAGTGTTTTTGTCTAGTTGAAAAGTATGACCCATGATCCTAATCATAAATAATTACATTCAGTAGGACCCTAACTCATTTTCAAGATATTTGTTCTTTTATTGTTTGTTTTCTAATCGAGTTCTTTTTTTTAAGGAAAAATGAACTAAATTAGAAAGTAAAAAAATGAACTAAATAAGAAAATAAACAATAATCCAGTTCTTCTCTTACGTATTTGCATCCCTATTGAAAAAAACATTGAATTCTTTTTCTTTTAACCACAACAAAATCATGGAACTCATATGACTGTTTTTAGTTGAAACAAGCAGTCAAAACGCTTTTTCTAATTTATAATTTTTCATTCTACTCAAGTTTATTACTTCTTTGACTTACTGTGTTGCTATTCCGTCTTCCTAAACATGAATTGCTCTTAGAAAATCTGTAAGTGTGTTAAAGATAGTAACTACAAAAGGTTGTCTGGTTAAATGAGCCAAATGTATAACTACAATGTGTGTTGGTAATTATTTAAGGGGGAGAAGGTAAAATAATATATATAGTATAACCTATTTAAATTAATATTTATAAATTAATATATAATAAAATTTTCTATAAAATAATATAACTTTATAATATTAAATTGAATTTTTAATTCAATTAATATATCGATAAATTAATAATTTCTATAAATTCATAAAAATTATTATTTTAGTGTATTTCCAACATTATTAATTAATAGAAGTTTCATTGTAATTTGAAATAATATTCAATCCTTGATTAGCCACACTTTTACATCTTTATTGCATCGTCACTTTCTTAAACATTCCCATCAGTCACTTTTATGTTATCTTTCTGTAATTCTATGTCTCAGTTAGAGGGATCAGATTCTCCTTTCTCCATTGTAATCTCTCTTTTTCTTTCCTTTAATTATCATCCAATATAATAATTAGTATGTAAATGTGACGCGTATCAGCTCCTTATTTGATGCTTTTCTTTAATTTCAATTCATTAACTTTAATGAATTCACACATTTAATGTTCAATTTAAGATAAGGCCTGCAGATTTCATAAATAATGTATAGGATCCATCAGCCCAAATTGTTTTTTCACCAGAAAAAATAAATTTTTATGAAACTTCATAAGCCTTTAGATTATGCATATTGGGCTTAGTAAATCATAATCAAGCTTTGAATATATTTTTTTTCTTGTCATGGATATTTAACAATTGATACCAAATAGCATTAAGCCATAATAATTCCAACTCAAAGCTAGTTGTCCTGAAGTTATGCTATTGAATATACTGAAGAATTTACGTATAAAAAATCTCTGAAAGAACATATCTAATTTACTTTTTTTATGGACCTTCTTTTTTAAATTCTTCAAAGTTTCTTGCGATTTCCTAAACCCCCAAAAACATAGTTAACTAATTTTGGTTTCTTATCAAGATTCAGTTTTTCTTGGATTAAACAAACTATCAGTCTCAAACTTATATTTTTTGTTTCATTAATATAATAAGCTTTTTTTTGCAGAAAAAGTATGTTTAGTAGTAGTATTATTAGAATTTTAAAAATTTCCTATTGGATATCTTTGTAATTATCATACTAGCTATGCAACATTAGCTGGCAATATCTTCTTCTAAATTTGCATTGAAATTTACCGCTTTCTTATTGGTTGGTTTAATTTCCACAAAGGAAACAAATCTACAGTATCTGAAATTAGCCTTAATACCAGCCTTTCATTACACTATATTGCATACTTAATACTAAAGAAAGTGATAAGACATGCATACGTAATCCCAGCCTCTCATTACATTATATAAACAAGACCACTATCAACTGCCAATGTATCTCTCTCATTCACTCCCATAACAATGAGAAGGGGAAAGACAAAATTAGAGCTCCTGACTGATAAGTCAGTAAGGACTCAGACTTACAAGAAGAGGACGAGAGGCTTTATGAAAAAAGCCAATGAGCTGGCGACTCTCTGCGGTGTCAAAGTTTGTGCGGTTATCCAAAGCTGCGACAGTACGGAGCCGGATTTTTGGCCGTCAAGGGAAGGGGTTGAAGCAGTGTTCTCAGACTTTATGAACTTGGAGGAGACGAAACGGTTCCATAGGATGTACGACCAAGAAAGTTACACGTGGGAGAGGATCATTAAAGCAGAAGAGAAACGGATGAAGGTACTTGCTGAGAATCGAGAGATGGAGCTTACAGAGATCATGTTCAACTTTCTCAAGGGGGAGAAGATTCCGCAGCATCACTATCATGATGCAAATTTTATTGGAGAATTTCAGCAATTGCTTGATGATTATCAAAAGGAACTAACTCACAGGATGGAGATCCTCATGGCGAATGGTGAGTCAGTTCCTCTTAATGTCGATGCTACAGATGCATCTGGTCCTGTTGTTGGTGATGTGAACCAGGTTGTTGTCGGAACCGAGGGTTCGGTAAGTAACCCTACTGAAGTTTATGATCATATGCCTCAATATGATGATATGGATATGAGTGTGAATGAGCAGGCTGGAGGTTCTAATGATCATGTTCATAACCAGAATATGAATCATCACGAGCAATTTCAATACCAAACTCCTAGTAATTTAAATTTGTATGATCAGACTCAGCCTAGGTTTTATGGTTCGAACCAGGGTGTGAATATGAATAGTCAAGTTCCATTTCAATACCAAACTCCTACCTTTTATGATCAGACTCAGCCTATGTTTTATGGTTCGAACCAGGGTGTGAATATGAATCGTCAAGTTCCATTTCAATACCAAACTCCTACCTTTTATGATCAGAATCAGCCTATGTTCTATGGTTCGAGCCAGGATGTGAATACAGGTTTGACTCATGGTCAGGGTATGAATCAGCCTAGGTTCTATGGTTCGAGCCAGGAGATGAATACATGTTTGAGTGATGATCAGGGTATGAATCAGCCTAGGTTCTATGGTTCGAACCAGGATATGAATACATGTTTGAGTGGTGATCAGGGTATGAATCAGCCTAGGTTCTATGGTTCTAGCCAGGATATGAATACATGTTTGAGTGATGATCATGGTATGAATCAGTCTAGGTTCTATGGTTCGAACCAGGATATGAATACATGTTTGAGTGGTGATCAGGGTATGAATCAGCCTAGGTTCTATGGTTCTAGCCAGGATATGAATACATGTTTGAGTGATGATCATGGTATGAATCAGCCTAGGTTCTATGGTTCGAGCCAGGATATGAATACAGATTTGACTCATGGTCAGGGTATGAATCAGCCTTGGTTCTATGGTTCGAGCCAGGATATGAATACAGGTTTGACTCATGGTCAGGGTATGAATCAGCCTAGGTTCTATGGTTCGAGCCAGGATATGAGTACAGGTCTGACTCATGATCAGGGTATGAATCAGCCTAGGTTCTATGGTTCGAGCCAGGATATGAATACATGTTATCAGGGTATGAATCAGTATCCAAATCCAAACCAATCGTTTACGAGTCTGTTGATGGGACAACTTCAGCAAATGAGTGGTGTTCAATATCTTCCAAGCGTTGCTTCCATGGATGACAACAACAACAGCTACCACCAGCTACCAATCACCAGTCAGATACCTTCCACCACTACTACCACCACCAGCACCAACGCTGCCCCCGATCTTTCTGGTCATAGCATCAACAATAAGCGTTGGCCAACAAGGCTTGGTTTGGACTGAAGTGTTTTCGTTTGCATTTCTGAATTTTCGTATTGTAATGATTTAAGGTTTTTGCCTTTAAATCAGTTATCTTATTTTCATTATCAGACAATATTGTATCCTATACCATATTGTGTTTTAAAGTTTATCGAATTTTAATTTTAGTTATCAAATCATAAAGAGTATTATTTTCTTAAGGCCGTGGAGTAGGGCTATTCAATATGGTGATACCGAACCGTACCGAACCGAACCGAACCGAAATAGACAATATGGTTTGGATTTGGTATATACCATATAAACCGAATGGATATGATTTTATAAAAACCGTAGGATTTGGATATGGTTAGGTTTATAACCGATTAAACCGAATAAACCGAACAAAACCGATCAAAGAAAAAATATATAAATATATACNCGAACCGAACCGAAATAGACAATATGGTTTGGATTTGGTATATACCATATAAACCGAATGGATATGATTTTATAAAAACCGTAGGATTTGGATATGGTTAGGTTTATAACCGATTAAACCGAATAAACCGAACAAAACCGATCAAAGAAAAAATATATAAATATATACATTATATAACCATTTATTTTCTTGGAATAGTATTTTTATTTTTATTTTTTATACCTTGTGAAGATATATCTTAATAATTTTATTTTATTTTCTTCAACTATTATCTAAATTTGATTTGATTTACATGTAAGAAATTGTGAAATTAGATTGTACCATGTAATTTATTTGGAAGAACAAAGAGAAAATAAGAAAAGCTATACAAAACTGAATCGTTGATCGTTTTGTTTGTTGTTAATTTCACATTTTTATATTTATGAACACCTAGGATTATTTTAATAAATGATAGTTTTGACAATATGTTTTTAAAAGAAATTCATATAATATGAAACCAAATCAAATAATAATGTTATTTGGTATAAAACCGAATAAACCAAAAACGGTAGTATAAATACCGAACCAAACCAAATTAAATATGGTTCCAATATGGTAGTTAATTTTTATAAACCGAATAATCGAAAACCGAAAATAACCGAACCGAAACCGGACCGAACACCAGATTGAACAGGCCTACCGTGGAGGAAGAATACAACTAACATTTCGTAATTAAGAAAAGTGGCCATAAGACAGAAATATAGCGTTATTTGACATGTAATTATGTATGGATGTAGAATGCTTACTTAAGATAACATTATCTTCCCAAAGACACATGTCATGCAATAAATTTTCACTCAGATAATCACGATAACTGATGATATTCCATTAAAAAAGGTTCTTCAATGATTCCTAAATGTTTATCTCACTAAGCATAAATATATTATATGGGAAGTCTCGGTTGGGTTTTGGTCCATACAGTTTACTTGATAGTCCGGTAACAAGCATCCGGCTACTCCCTTGTATTAGCTGGAAGTTATTTCAAACTCCAGGTCAAATAATGTACTAACCCTTCGAAATCTTTTTTACTATGTAGCATAAATATGTTCTTACCGGGTTAAACCGAATCAACATAAATTACATATAATAAAAAACAAAGTGAAAGATATTTACATTACAAAAACACAGCCGTTTGATGTCAAAGAAAAAGAACAAACACATGTCTTTCTAAACAAAACTTCTCAAGGGTAGAGTCGATAAGAAACTGTGTGAATAGGTGAAAAATGGTCGTATACATTTAGTTGTTCGGGCTTTTGTATGATCGGTCCTGTGAATATGTGGGTCCAAATACTATTGAAATGGTTCGTATAGCATTTATGCAAACTTTGAAAAGCTTCTCTTACCTAATAGACCAAATTCGCACCACAAGTAACAAAACCTAACGTTGCAACTGCAATATGTAGTTGTTTGTTTTAACCAGTGAGTAACAAATAACACTGTGTTTGTCTATTTGGATTATACATAGAAGTCTGCTCATGTTTTAACGATGTCTGACTACTTGTTGTTCCGTGGAGATGATTGTTGTCTGTAACCCATAGCTTAATATCCACAGTGCATTTTTTCATGGCAGTTTGCAGAGAGGGCATGTAACCTAAGAAAAATCCAGCATAAATTCGTAACGTATATGTTATTTAAATCTGATAGTTAAAAAATAAGTTATTTAAACTGAAACTATTATTTGTTGCCCCATCCTAATTAATATATAGAAGGCCTAAAGCACATAAATTTAATTAAATATTTTATTCTTGAAATAGTATGAACAGTTTATTTTAATTCATGCTTGAAGTCCTAGCGTTGTACTGTTTTATGTATTACAATAGGAGAATTATTTGTCAAAAAGAATATCTAATTATGAAAAATATAACTAAAATGTATGAATTTTAACATAAGTGTAGAGTTAAAANAGAAGGCCTAAAGCACATAAATTTAATTAAATATTTTATTCTTGAAATAGTATGAACAGTTTATTTTAATTCATGCTTGAAGTCCTAGCGTTGTACTGTTTTATGTATTACAATAGGAGAATTATTTGTCAAAAAGAATATCTAATTATGAAAAATATAACTAAAATGTATGAATTTTAACATAAGTGTAGAGTTAAAATATTGCATTTCATCAGCCCTTCCAATCATCTAGAAACGATATATATAAAAAAGCAAAAAATGTAGTTAGTTTTCGTTTTCTTTTGTCTTTCGGAGACTCCGGTCTCATGTGATAAAAGCATATAGAGAGAGGTCAGAATAATCAAATCCAATAAGATAGGCTGTGATTGTTTTTTTTGCTAATATGTTTTGTGATTGTTAGCGGTGAGGCTCGTGAATATTGTGGCCTTGGATCAATATTACTCTAGATTAATCAATAATTGATAATAAGCTTTGAACATTATTTATCAGCTACAACCAATCAGCTGATTCACGCAGTGCTACAACCAATCTTGATAATTCGCGTCGATATATGCATTCTGCTTCCGGTACAGGAACACAAATGTGTGCTATGTAACAAAAAAGATATTTGCAATAGATAATGGAAGACTAAAAGGTGGGAGTTAATAAAACACAAAAGAAAGACTAAAAGGTGGAAACGAGCAAGAAAATTAAGAAAAATCGGTGAACATTGAGCAAAAGTAAGTGATCCCACGGGACTCATCCCACCTAAACCTCTCCCAGAATATTAAGACACTAAGACAAAGAAAATGCATACGTCACTCTTCTTTAGGAAGGGCTATATAAACCCTAGAGTAGCACAAGCTTCCATACAACACAACACATACATCAACATATTCACCATGAAGCTTCTTCATGGCCTCGCTTTAGTTTTTCTATTAGCTGCTGCGAGTTGCAATGCTGGTGAAGAAGTTACTTGCGAAGAGAACAATCCATTCACATGTGGTAACACTGATATTTTAAGCAGTAAGAACTTTGCAAAAGACTTCATCTTCGGTGTTGCATCTTCTGCTTACCAGGCATGTAACAAATGTTTCCATATATACTTTTGACGTATAAATAAATACAACTAAAAACACTAATATCCAACTTTGTATTTTTGTTTCTTTTCATTTCAGATTGAAGGAGGGAGGGGTCGTGGTGTTAACGTTTGGGATGGCTTCAGTCACCGATACCCAGGTATATATGTCACGGTGACATATATATGAGATGAATATATTATCGGTTTATATGTACAAATATTAATGTATTTGTAATTACTATCAGAGAAATCAGGGTCAGATTTGCAGAACGGAGACACTACTTGTGAGTCATATACGAGATGGCAGGTTAATTCCTCAGTACAATATATATATATAGATACTCATGACTGAACTATGTATAGAACTAAGTGTGCGTTGACATATGATTAAAATATGAAAAATGCAGAAAGATGTAGAAATTATGGGCGAACTCAATGCTACTGGCTACAGATTCTCCTTTGCGTGGTCAAGAATCATTCCAAGTATGTACACATTATCGATCAAAGTATATATTTATTTATATGTACGTAGTTTGTTTTTTAAAACCAATCAATATAAATATATATACACGAGCAGAAGGAAAGGTGAGTAGGGGAGTGAACAAGGGAGGTATTGATTACTACCACAAACTCATAGACGCCCTCCTAGAGAGGAATATAACACCTTTCGTTACCCTCTTTCACTGGGACCTTCCTCAAACACTCCAAGATGAGTATGAAGGTTTCTTGGACCGCCAGATCATGTATGTGCCTTGCTTCTTATATACTACTAATTTTAAAAGAAAAAAAAGAAGAGGATTTGTACATGTAGTAATGAAATGATTCTATATTATAATATGTACAGACAAGATTTCAAAGATTACGCGGATCTATGTTTCAAAGAATTTGGAGGAAAGGTGAAGCACTGGATCACGATCAACCAGCTATACACAGTGCCTACGAGAGGCTATGCAATCGGAACAGATGCACCCGGACGATGTTCTCCTTTGGTTGATACCAAGCAAAGGTGCTACGGAGGAAACTCTTCAACGGAACCCTATATCGTTGCACATAACCAGCTACTTGCTCATGCCACGGTAGTCGATCTTTACAGGACGAACTATGCGGTGAGTAGTCTCCATATGTGAAAAAGTGGTGTAAATCTACCATTTTTTATTCTAATTTACTCATGTAAACAACAGTCCCAAAATGGGAAGATTGGACCTGTGATGATAACCAGATGGTTTCTTCCATATGATGAGTCTGATCCTGCTTGCATAGAAGCAGCTGAGAGGATGAACCAATTCTTCCATGGATGGTATGTATATTTTATATATTACCAAAAAATGTATCAATATATATATTAATTATGTCTATGTACATTCAAAAAATATACAATATTGATCAGGTACATGGAGCCGCTAACAAAGGGTAGATACCCAGACATCATGAGACAGATTGTGGGTAGTAGGCTTCCCAACTTCACCGAGGCAGAGGCCGAACTCGTTGCCGGTTCATATGATTTTCTTGGTCTCAACTATTACGTCACTCAGTACGTCCAGCCAAAACCTAACCCGTATCCTTCTGAGACACACACTGCCATGATGGACGCTGGCGTAAAGCT